GCCAGCATAAGGCCGACAAGAATTAGTGGCCTGCAATGGCTCATAATTTACTGGGCGGTACCTGTCAACCAATGGCTCAGCAAAAGAAGACGACAAGAAGACATCCAACCTCAATCAGCATGGTGCAAAGTGTGTAATGAGAACATAGAAGAGTCCATGATACATTGCTTTTCCCTCTGCCAACGAGCCCAAGAAATATGGGACAGAACAAAAAAGGCATGGAATAAGGTGACAGGCCGCACGTTTCCCTCAGGAATAAATTACCTACTGACGGGAAGAACTGAGGACACTGACCTGGAAGAAGAGGAAATTCACTTGGCAGATCTGTGGAGGAGATCGACCCTGTGGGTAATATGGAAAGCAAGGTGCAAGGGCACTCTGGACAGTCAATTCCCAAGCATGGAAGAAAGATGGGAAGAAGTAAAATCCAACATACAAACAGAAACTCAGAGCGCGATGGGCGAAGGAACAAAAAGAACAACAGAGGCTAACACAGCCAGAAAAGCGTGAAGTGAGGCAGAAGGGGTTTGAGAAAATCTGGCTCTACGAAAACAAAATGGCAAAGATAAAGAAAGGAACTCTGCAGTTTCAGGGCTGGGATTAACAAGACAAGGGATTCACGCACCTTCACCAAGTACCTCTTCCCGTCTCCTTTCCCCGAATAACCCTTGGAATAGCCCCACCGAACTAACATCCCTGAGCAAGCTCGGAAGGTGGAAAGGACCGAGCCTAAACGCACCAGAAAAAGTGACTCTACGGGTCAGGCGGAAGGGAGATACAGCAGAACTGTTGAAGGGCCAACTATGGTGACAGCAGAACTCTTGAAGCAGCACACCTTCTGATGCAGCAGTACTTTCAAGGAGGCAGAACCCTCGAAGGGACTACTTCTGACGGAGTAGAATTTTTGATGGGCCTATGGAAGAAAGACGCAGCAGGAACTTTGGATGCATTGGAAGCTTTTGTAGGCTGGATGGGACAAGAAAGAGAAAACAGGAGGGAGAGGAGCAACGCAGAAAAGGAGGACATGCGAGCAAGATCGGCTCAAAGGAAGGCTGGTTTGGAGGGCATAGGTCGAGGGTTTAGGGTTTAGGGTTTAGGGTTTAGGTGCTAGAGAAGGAAGAGAGCAGATCTATGATGGGAAGGGAYAGATATTATGAGGGAGGGGAGACCTTTTGCTTGGGTAGTATAACGGAAAAGAGGAAAACACAGGTCAGCAGGGTCAATGGACGAGCCTTTTCCAAGGAAACATAGCACTATCTGGCAGACCAGGATTCCAGGTCTGAGAGGAAAAGGAGTGTTA